TTTGTTTGTTTGTTTGTTTGTTTTTTAAAAAGCTAAAGTGGATAGAGAGAAATACTGTTAACTGCTGGTACATGTAGGGGATTATAATCATTGTAATGAAACAAGGTATATGATTTATTAAATGTAAAACTGATGATATGCCCTGTAAACTTTCACTCAATCCACAATTAAAACCTAAAATTAAAAAAATATTTTTTTAAAGTCAAGAAAAGATTTTCACACTAAAAAAAAAATTAATCAGAAGAACTAACACCTGACCATTTACTAAGCATCTGCTTAATGCCGGGCACTGTGCTAAATGATTTGCATGAGTTAGATCTTTACCCTCTCTCCTTTTTTTTTGTTTTGCAAGGGAGGTCATAATTAGACTTTTCAGTATCAGCTGACTTGTGTGTATTTAAAACATTCTGTTTCTTGCAAAAAATACATTTCATCACTATTTTAGAAGGACAGTACTTTACAGACGACACGTACCCAGAACAAGAAACCAATGTAGACAGATAAAGTCCTTTTGAAGCTTTCTCTCACCCTGAAAGTCTTTACCTTTTATAAGTATCTGTGTCACTTGGAGCCCTGGTGTGGCGCTCCGGGTTAATACGCTGGACTGCAAGCTCGGTTTAAACTCCAAGGTCGGCTGTTCAAGCTCACCAGCAGCTTCTTGGAAACCATATACAGGGTCGCTATGAGTGAGAACTACTGACGTAGTGGCACTTAACAACAACAACAACGTCACTTATAGTAATCCTTGTATGGCACTATAGGATAATGCACTGGACTGCAAGATCAGTTTGAACCGCAAGGTCAGCAGTACAGACTCACTAGCCACGCCTTGGAGAACCTGTACAGAGTCAACTATGAATCAGAACCAGCTCGATGGCACTTAACAACAACAACATGGCACTTGTAGGAATACCACAGCATTTCACATGTAATTATATGATATCTCACATTCTGTGTTATTCTGATTAATGCCTTATCTTTAAATAGATAGTCTAATTTCAAAGGTATTGTCTATTTCATTTATGTCCCACACCTCTGAGCATAATTGTGTTTAATAAATGATTCTGAAATGAATAAGTGAACAGACTTTATATTGCCATTTTCACTTCATTATTCTGAGTAGCTGTGTATGATAGATGTGTAGTATAAATTCAAAATTTTAAATAAAAAGACAGATTTTTGTTACCTTTTTAAAATATAGCTGCAGTTTTCAAACTTTCATAAAAAACAAGTAACTCCAGTGAGTTTTTGTTGATGTAGATTAATTCTAGCGATAATCATATTAGAAATTAAAAGTAAAACATTAAAAAACCCAGGAATATTCCACTAGCCAAAGCAGTGACATCAGCATACCTCTTGTAGTTCTGGGAAGTTCCAGTGTACACTATTAAGAGAATGAAAGTGAAAAGGCAAATAACCTCTTAGTGGTGCTGTGGGCTAATTCACTGCACTGAAAAGTTAGTTTGTAGGCTAATTCACTGCACTGAAAAGTTGGTTT